AGGCATGTGAGAAAATTATATATAAAGCAATCTATCTGTGTAGTAGCCGTTTATTTGTTTAAAAATATGTTGGAATTAACACAAATAAACAAATAAACAAACCATTGTGATTGTTCTGTGTGTGTCTGTGTTGGTGTAACCGTTTCTAAAGCCCTTCTTCAGTATTTACAGTTACCATCTAAAGCCTATACACAAAAATAATGGTTCTTCAAAGGTTCTTTAGTGAAGAAAATGGTTCTATATAGAACCTTGAACACTCAAAGAACCCTTTGCAGTATTAAAGTGTGCTTTGCATCTAAAAATAGTTCTTCATATTGGTAAAGGATAACAGGAATTTTCAAATTATTCCAAAAACTGAAAAATGATATTATATATCATTTTGATATATAATATGATATTATATATCAGCGACATTATATATATATATATATATATATATATATATATACACTGTAGTGTGTGCAGTCATATAGTTTGAACACCCCTGGTCTGATTACATGTTTTGTTGATTTTGTAACACGTATTTATTTGCTGTCGAGGTTACCATATTGGAAAAAATAAAACATAAAAAAGGTGCCATAACTTTTGCACAGGCCACAATTGATGTTTTTTTCCTTTTTCAATATCTTAAAATCAGCAAATTAACAGTAATTGTGTATTAAAATGCAGCAGTGTGTCTCTGTAGAGGATGTGTAACTTATTTTTACTTAGAAAATCAACAAAACGTCCTTTGAGAAGGGCGCCCAAACTTTTGCACCGGCCTGTATTCCTCTAACTTACACACTCAGAACTTTTTCAAAAACAAAAAATCTTGTTATGTTTTACTGTGTTTACGTTTATTTGTCTTTATTTTAATGTTGTGCATTGTTTTACTGACAAAAATAGACTTCCTGATGAGATAAAAGGTTTTTTCAAATATTTCAATTTCAACTTGCCTTTCTATCAGTTCTTCATCACAGAGACACTGTTTAATTTGTGGCTCTAGTCATTTTAGATCTGTGGTTCTTTAAAACATGACTGATGGCCTTCAATTATAGATGAATAAAAATTATGAATGTGGATGGTCTGGTGTGGTTTTGCTTAATTCATTTTTTCGTTAATTCCTATAATTTGTAATACTTCTTTTTACTAATTTTCATAATTGTTAATTTGCATAATTCTTAGGGCTTGAATGTTTAAAGAGCCTTGGGCCTGGCTCACTTGAGTGGTATCATATCCCTGACTCTATTAGCTTTATAGCACTGTTGCCAGACATTGAGCTACGGCCGTCTTTACAGGCACAGACTGCACTTTTAAGAGACCATTGATGAAGACGTTAATTTTTATGTTTGTCTTTAAATGATTTGGGTAAATGGAGCTATCAATATGCTGTGCTTGGGATCCTCAAAGCTCGCAGGCTAGTTTTGTATTCTAGCTCTTTAACATCCAGCCCTCCTCCACCAGGGCAAAGTGTATCGCACAGCATTTATTGTCTTAAAGTTTAAATGGAACAGGAATGAAGTCCCTCTTTTTTGTGAGAACTGGGTTAGGTTAGGCCGTAGTCTCTTGAGGAGAATGCTTATGTGGCACAGCAGGTTGTGAGCACTGTATGGTTTGTGTGGTGATATGAGACACGGAAAACAAGTAAAAATGAGAAAAGCCTGTAGTTGTGTTGGGTTGTTGGGTTGTTGGGTTGTTCTTTCCGCATTACATCTTCATAAAAATGTCAGTGGTAAAGCAGAACTCATCAATTTTTAACAACGTATGTATAATTCACTCTTTGAGATGTAAACAAAGTCATTCTGAGTGGTTTGATGTGAAAAGGTTCATTTGTAGGGAAACTGACTCAGATGTCTTTACAGTGGTGGTGATAGGAACCAGGGGTCAGTATGTCCACAACACGAATATAGCCATTTTATTCACTATCCAAAACCACAAGTGAACCTACACGAGTCTTCTGAGCTTTTATATGTAATGATGTTGATGGTAAAATAGTGGTCTGAAAAATATGTTCACCTTCAGTAGTATTTTGCCTGCATGTTCCTCTAGCCATGTAGTGTATTATAAACATATACTTTGAGGCCAAAACCTTCTTATAATTATTATTATACAGTGTCTCAGACCTCAGGCAGCAGACTCTGAACTACTGGAAAGATACTGTAATAACTTTATTTGAGGGAGCTCTTGGAGGCATTAAACCCTTTAGACGTCTGGTTCCTATCACCACCACTGCGAACAATTTTATGTAGAAATTTTATTTACTATCCAAAGCCACCAGTGAACCTACACGAGTCTTCTGAGTTTTATATGATAATGATGTTGATGGTAAAATGATGGTCTGAAAAATATGTTTACTTTCAGTAGTATTTTGCCTGCATGTACGTCTCTGCCATGAGTGTATATAAAGATATGTTTGAGGCCAAAACCTTCTCATAATTATTATTATACAGTGTCTCAGACCTCAGGCAGCAGACTCTGAACTACTGGAAAGATACTGTAATAACTTTCTGTGAGGGAGCTTTTAGAAGCGTTAAACCCTTTAGACGTCTGGTTCCCATCACCACCACTGTGAACAATTTTATGTAGAAATTTTATTTAGTATCCAAAACCACCAGCGAATCTACATGTATCTTATACATTTTTATGTGTAATGTTGATGATGGTTAAATAGTGGAAAATCCTTGTCTTAAAACATTCTGCTTGTACCTCTCTGCCATGAATGGATTAAAAAAAAACATTTCAGGCCACAACCTTCTCATACCTATCGTAAAACAATGTCACAGGCTGATAGCAGCATATTCATAACCATTTCACGAATGTGAGGGAACTTTGTTTACATCTTAACCATTTAATTTTGAAAACTCCAAATTAAAGCCTGTCTTTGTGTCATAGCGTTTGTCACCTTCACGATAATATGCAGTGATGAAGTTGACTGGAAGCGCAGAACCTCAAACGTGCAGCCGCCGTCACCGTCTCCTGCTCATTTGGTGGGAAATGATCAGGTGTTGTTACGTAATGAGGCTAATCTGGGCATGCTAGCTCGTGCAGTTCGTTGTCCCGCTGCCTTTGGCTTTGACATTGGACTGCCTCCCAACAGAGGCTTATTAAAGCAGAAGTCACATAGAGGGCAAGTGTAGGCGCTTCGTCCCAATTTCACCTGCTCCTATAGGCTGGAGTGGCCCTCAGCAAGGGGTGTGGCCTTTTTCCGGAAGGAGCCGGGGCACGTTGTAGGTGGAAAAGAGGTCATTTGCATAATCGACCTGATTAGCCCTTATTGGTTTCACGTTTGAGATGAATTACTGATGCAGTATCTGAAATATGTTCAGGCGCTTGGGGATGTTATGAATGTCGCAGTAAACGGCTGTGTTAGACCCACTGTACCCACCAAGAGCACATACTGGCTCTTTAAAGAGTTCTGAAGAGTTTTGGGCTAAAATTTATTCACATATTATTGCTGTGGAAAAAATATGTATCTCCTGTTTTTTTTTTTTCAGTTTTTCTTTTTCTGCATTATTTGAACACAGAAGCTGCACTTTGCGTTGTGTGACAATTTTTATAATAACTTTTGCACAGGCCACATTTTATGTTTTTTTTTTCTTTTTCAATGTCTTAATTTCAGCAAATTAACAGTAATTGTGCATTAAAACGTGCAGCAGTGTGTCTGTAGATGATGTGTAACTCATTTTCACTTAGAAAATCAACAAAATGTCGTTTGACAAGGGCGCCCAAACTTTTGCACAGGCCTGTATTCCTCTAACCTACACACTCAGAACTTTCACAAAAACAAAAAATCTTGTCATGTTTTACTCTGTTTATGTTTATTTGTCTTCATTTTAATGTTATGCATTGTTTTACTGACAAAAACTGACTTCCTGATGAGATCAAATGTCTTTTATCTGTTTTCATTTCAAATTGACTTTCTATCAGTTCTTCATCACAGAGACACTGCTTGATTTGTGGCTCTAGTCATTTTAGATCTGTGGTTCTTTAGCCTAGAGTCTTCAAGTAAGGGTAGAGAGGACATTATGTTCAGAGACTGTGCTGTTCTAGACCAGGTACTGTTTAAGATTCAGACTTTTGGAATGCCTTCTGTCTCATATTCAGGTCATGTCCCTTCTGTCCTTATTACTGGCTTTTGGCAGTCTTTGTAAACACCTTTTAAAGCCTGCGTTCCTGTACAACAAGGGTTTGTTTTCATAAAAGACTGGAGTAGTGGTCAGAGCATGGCATGTCCCGAGCTGCTTCGGAATGAGTCAGTGTTGCTCTCAAGAGGTGACTTTTATTTTGTCAGTACACAAGCTAATTATTTGTTTTGGGCCAAAATTGATTTAGTTGAGGCCCTTTTGGAATCAGAATTACACCAGGGAGTAAATAACTGGGGACTGAAGAAGAGAAGATTGGAAATATTTTGTGAAGTCCAGTAGAGGGAGCTGTTTTACAGCGAATCCAGCCTTATTCTCTCAGATCTTTTCAACCTCAGTCTACACCGTCCACCGTACATTGTCCATTGTCCATTTTATCAGTACCTTTTACCCTGGTCTTCAGTGGTCAGGACCCCCCACACCACCACCACGTCAGTGTGACTGCAGTGCTGAGAATGACCCACCACCCACATAGTACCTGCTCTGTGAGGATCCGTGGGGGTCCTGACCACTGAAGAACAGGGTAAAAGGGAGCTAACAAAGTATGCAGAGAAACAGATGGACTACAGTCTGTAACTGTAGAACTACGAAGTGCACCTATATAGTAAGTGGAGCTGATAAAATGGACAATGAGTGTAGAAACAAGGAGGTGGTCATAATGTTATGCCTGATCGGTGTATGTTTTCTAAAAGAGAGCAGCCATCCTGAAGTTAAATATCTTTAATTATCTATTAACTTCAGTTCTCTCAAATGTCTTAATTTTATCATTTTCACAGAAGAAGCAGAATGCTGTGTTATTTTGTGTATGTATAATTGTTGTTAGTGAGTCGGGCATTGGCTACAAATGTAATAATAATGTTTTTCTTTTTTTCTCCACAGTCCACGTCCCAGTCGGGATGGCTTCTCCGGTGCGGACACTCCAGGGTCCAAGCGCAAGCTGTACAGTGCGGTCCCTGGCAGGCACTATGTGGTGGTGAAGTCCTACCAGCCGCAAGCAGAGGGCGAAATTGCCCTCTATAAGAATGACAGGGTCAAAGGTACAGCATGTGCTCTAAAAGCTTTTTTAACTCTAACGCTCTTAAAGTTAGACTTAAAAATCATTGACTCCCCTGTCCATACAGTCTCTATATGGAAGCTATGCAGCCCATTTTAAATTACCGTGGTTGTGATGTCATGACAGCCATGAGCACATTCACATATTCTGCATTTCATTGGTTGGTTGTTTAAAGAGCCTTTCTTGGAGATATGGGAGTGTAAAGAACCTTTTCTGAGTTTAAAGGACCTCCACGTAATGTATGGGTTCTATACCAATTAGAGTACTGTGCAAAAATCAGAGACCACCCATTTATTTAATTTCCAATGAAAACTCAACCAGAAGAAATTAAATATAATGTCAGTGTTTCAGTGTTCAGTGTGTCACTCTATACCTTCATTACAGCTTCCATTCTTTTCAGGAGACTCACTTTCAGTTCCTCAAAGAATCTGCAGACACACCTCCAAAGCTCAGTCTTAGAAGCTGGTTGATTTTCTGAAGTAGTCAGACCCATTCAGTGATGTTGAGGTCTGGACTGAGGTCAGTCCATCGTTCAGCTTCTTTGTTTGATGTGTCCGTCTCCTTTTCTCAGTGAGGTTCTTCTTGACAGCTACACATCCTTTCAGACCCACAGCGCTGAGTCGTCTTCTCACAGTGGAAGGATGGACAGAAACACCTGTGGATGTTTTCAGATCTGAAGCAGCTTGATTTTCTCCTCTCTCTCAAAGATGAAAGCTTTAAGTGCTGTTTATCTGATGGGGCCAGTTTTGGTGTCTACCAGGTCTTCCAGGTGGTTGTTAGGAGACTCATTTTCTCTCGAGCTTTTAATCATTTTCTGAACTCCAGTTTTTGTTTTGGACACTCCTGTTTTTTCTCTCATTTTCCTTTGACTTTCAGATGCAAGTAGACTATTTTATAGCTAATGTCATCAGAAATATCTGAAAAATGAATAAAGTATACTTCTCTGACTGTTTTGGCTGGAAACTCAATATGTGTTATAAAAATAAAAAATCATTTAGGAGCCTTTATTTTCAGGAATGTACCACTGAATCAGTCAGTTGTAGATGTCAGTGGCTCACAGCCATAATTCTGTATGTGTAGAGTTTTGTGTTTGCTCTGCTCTAATATGACTGATTTAACTCATAAAAGGATTTATAACAAACTGATGAGTTGACTCAGGCGTGTGAGCTCTGTGAAATCTGTCAACAATGCAGAGGTCTCTCAGGACCAGGATTGACAACCAGTGATTACAAGCAACATTGATTTGAGTGTCACTTTTCCCAAAGCACATGTTCTTTTATATTAAATAAGTGATTGATATGACAGTTACTCCAAGAACACAGACTAGAAGTGATTGTTGATATGAAAAGGCTTTTAAAGGGCAATAATCCCAAAGCCACAATTAGTGATTAATGTAAATTATAACTTGCATACTAATTCTTGATGGTTACTACTATTGGATATAAAATTTGCCAGTGACAACTTATTATAACCCATTGTTTGCAACTACAGGAAGAGTATTAAGGATTTCAAATGATAAGGAAAACTTGCAGAGACCTAAGACACTGTTTACTGCATAACTGGGTGGTTCTCGTATACTGAGCCCGAGCCCAGCCTGAACGAACAGAGAATATTGTGCGCTGACTTCCCTTGGTCTTTTTGGTGTGAAAATCTGGTGGAAAACTTGGTGTCACAATCGTTTTATTAATATGAAACCCATGATTGTTTAAAGTAATTGTTCAACGCATGCAATTTAGCCATCAGCGTAATTAAAACCTAAACTTTACTTGCTTAAAGCAAAACAAAACAAAAAATATTGAAATCTAATTCACGCAAAAGTGTACAAATATAAATCCTTTTTATAGACATTTTCTTTCCGTTTTATAGACTGTATATGACAACCATTCGCATTGACGTGATAAAGAGTGATGTGACTGCAGACAGTCTGTAAGCAAGCGAGTAGGAATGTCTACTCTAGATGACTTAACAGTGTGACACAAAACATTTTTGACAAAGAATCACTTTCAACGTGAGAAAGTAGAGCCAGTTTATGAGGAGTCTGGCCGCTTCTTATTTCCCCCATTATATCAAAAACAGGACTGCAAAACGCCACGTGAGCGAGTCCTCAATGAATGGGAGTAAATGGAGCTCAACGGCTAAAAATGTACTGAGTGCTGATTGGCTGGCGAGTGGAGCAGCTCATTGTCTGTCACAGATGTCATGAACATACATGAGGCGCCATTTTAAACCCCTATAACCCCGAGTTTAAAAGCTCTTAAAAATATAACAGCAGTGTTAAAATGTTTTATGCTGATCTGTGTTCAGAAAATGAATGTACTCTTTTACATTAAAAATGTTTAAGCCTTTATAAACTATGATTTTGCTCAAATGCTCCATCTTAACCCATTAATTTTGGACTCGCTCTGGAGCGCCCCCTGGAAGACATTACAGAGTGGTATTTCTCCTCTGTACAAGTTCTATGGGAAAAGTCCCTCAGGTAAATGAGGTGAATGTGATTGCCTGTGGTGTTTCTGTGCAGTGCTCAGTATCGGTGAAGGAGGATTCTGGGAGGGCAGTGCTCGAGGGAACGTCGGGTGGTTCCCTGCAGAATGTGTGGAGGAGATCCCCAACAAAGCCAACGAAGACCGACCCTGTAAGTCAACACACACACACACGAACTTAGAGGTCCACACTGTAATGAGCCAACTTACTGGAATGATTTGGCTAAAGTTCAGATTTACATGATTTTCCTCTTACCACAAATGCAGATAAGCCAAGGCATGTTATGTGTCTGAGCTTTGCTTCTTTAGTTTCGACCTGGAGCTGCTAGTCTAACAGTGCTAACAAACACTGGAAGTCAATAGTCACCCAAACCGCTTCACAAATACGTGCCAACATCTTTGTATATTTGCTACAAGTTGCATTGGTAAGTTACATAAGCTATAATGATAATGGAATTACATTATCATCTGCATTAGACGTCCCACTTTAAAAAAAGTTAGAAGTTGCACATCAAATAAGGATAAACCTACGTTATTTGCGTACCATTTTGCAGAAACGGAGCAAAGAAATGTACAGGTACACCACAAACTAGCAACAGAGACATTTAGTTGCCTTGCAAAATCTGTGTATGTGGTCATTTTTCATCTGACCATTACAGGGAAGGTATCTAAAATCTACAGCTGTACCAGTTAAATTTTTATGGATGACATCTTAAAAAGTGAATCTAAGGTAAGCACTGTTTACTTGGCCATGAGGACAAGGCTGAAGTTGGTTTTCTATTCGGCAGCTTCTTATTTGAAGCTTATAGCTTCAGCTTTGTGCTAAGAGGTGGGTTTGAGAAGTCACTAGAAGTCAGCTTCAAACATATAGGGTCAAGGCAAAAAGTTGTAGTCCTCCAATTTGTATTCGGACATTGTATTGTTTTGTATGTATTGTCTTTCTGAGCACACTCGCTTCACTTCTCTACCTACATTAGCTTGTGGTGCATCTGTGTTGTGAATTCTCTCAACCCTGTCTTTGATCGTCTTGAGCAGAATGATACCAAACTGTGCTCAGGAAAGAAGTGATTCCGGTGGTCCTAAATGGCTGCTGCTTTTAGCTGCACAGATTTTTTTTCATTTGTAAAGTTCATAGTAAGTTATATACTGTTCTAAACCACACTGACATGTCTGCCTGACTTAAATTAAGACCTGGATGTGAATGAAGTGAGTTGAGAGAGGTTTTGGGCATGAAATTACACAAGCTGTTTGGGTGACGATTGACTTCCAGTGTTTGTTAGCACTGTTAGCCTAGCTGCTCCAGTTCTATACTAAATAAGCCAAACTGGCACAGCAAAGGCGCCTTAACTGATCAACTTTATTTGGGGTAATCATGCACACTTGATTTTTCATCAGAGTGTTCCTTTAAACAAACTATTTCAAAACTTAAAGGGGCTATCTCACGGAGAATGGAGATTTCTTCACCAGTTTTTAAATAAAAGTACAGTGTAAACACTGTTATAAAACTATTATAAAACACTTATAATAACTATTATAATTCATTCCCTGGTCCATATATAAAACTGTGCTGCCCATTTTGGATAACCATGCTTGTGATGTCACAGCCATGAACACATTTATATATGACTGTCAGCAGTCAAATGTAACAGTCTGTATCAGAGTTATTGGAGTGGAAGATGTTGGAAAATTATTAAACATTGTGCTGTTCCTGGCTGTCAGGAAACAAATGGAGCAAAGGATCCACACATCTGAAAGAAACAGTTGAAGTTAATTTTTGAAGTTCGCTGGTATTGTTACACAAAACCAAACAATAACTGTGTAGTTACACATGAATAACATATGCAACAACAATGTAACTACTGATGATTTAGTCAACGTTACAGATGGATTACTAAAGTACAGCCTATGTAATTACACGTGTATCAACTTCAGTTTTGCCTTGTGTAATTACACAAGTGTATATTTTTGATACACTACAGATCAAAAGTCTTTTCCAGCAGTTAAAGAAAGTATGTTTTACATAATTACTGTGGAATAACTGTGTTGTAACAAGGTGAACTAATCATGTCACATTCATTAATACCATTCTGTAATTATATTGTATGTATATAACAACTACACAGGAACTTTCCTGCAGTGCAGTGTTAAAGATACACTTTAAAATAAGTGGACAGTTCCTGTGTAGTTGGTATGTAGGTACTGTGTAATAATAGAGTAATAATATAGACATTGTTTTGGGTTTAATGCAACACATTTAATTCATGTCATAAAAGTTACATATTAAGATAAGGGGACGTCTGCTGTACTGTCACATTACAGAATGGTTTAAAGTTGAAACTGGTTATTATATAGCACTAGTAACATAAATGCTAGCTAAATGTTAGAAAAGCTGGCAGATACAGTGTTAATAATAATAATAATAATAATAATAATAATAATAATACAGTGTTAGTAGTATCTTAATGTAAGTTATTATATACTTCCTTTTACTGCTGAAAAAAAAATGCTGTTCCGGTCTGATTACAAATGTAATTATATTTGTTATTACCCTTGTGTAATTACATGAGAGAGAATAGGCTGTTACAACTAATAAGATACTCTTGTGTAATTACATGAGGCAAAACTGAAGTTGATACACATGTGTAATTACATAGGCTGTAGTTCTGTAATCCATCTGTAACAGTGACTAAATCATTAGTAGTTACATTGTTGTTGCATATGTTGTTCACATGTAACTACACAGTTATTAGAGACACTTAATATAAAGTTTGACTGGAAAAATAACCTTCACACAGACACAAACACTTATGTACATGAAACATGGTGTTTATGAATATGCTACAGATCTCACATTACATCACTACACAAACAGACTAGCTTTACAGATCAGCTTTAATGCCACCAGATCTCTCTCTCCTTCTCGATTTCTCCATTTCCTCCTCCCTCTGCTCTCCTAGTGCTTCTTGGATAACCCACACAATATGTGAGGAGCCTTTAGGCCACGGCAGGCTGTTCATTCAGTTCATGATCAGTACAAACTGGGACACAATGTGTACACTAACACCTCTCGCACAACACGCTCAACTTCACCGGCCGTGCAGCGTGTGTGAGCATCTTAGGAACCTGCATATTATGTATTGTATGTCTTAAAGGATAAAGGGAAAGTCCACCAATTTTTCAAAATATCTGCATAATTTTGTTGTTTCTGCATAAACAACGTCTTTCAGACTGGTTTGATGTGAAATGTTTAATTGTGATAGGAAACAGGGGTTTCAACATCTACAGCGTAAATAAAGCCATTTAATGTACTTTCCAAAACCACTAGTGAACCTACTTGTGTTATGTGTCATATTGATAATGGTAAAATAGTGGTAAATCCAGAAAATTTGCTTTTTTGCCTGCATGAATCTCTGTGCCTTCACTGTCAGAAAGAAAGTACAATATTTGCACCTTTTCAGAACCTAAAGTTTTAAAAATAAAAAAATAAAAAGCCAGGAGTACAGACAAAGTATGCACCGATCAGGCATAACATTATGACTACCTACTTGTTTCTACACTCATTGTCCATTTTATCAGCTCCACTTACTATATAGGTGCACTTTGTAGTTCTACAGTTACAGACTGTAGTCCATCTGTTTCTCTGCATACTTTGTTAGCCCCCTTTTACCCTGTTCTTCAGTGGTCAGGACCCCCATGGACCCTCACAGAGCAGGTACTATTTGGGTGGTGGATCATTCTCAGCACTGCAGTAACACTGACGTGGTGGTGGTGTGTTAGTGTGTGTTGTGCTGGTACGAGTGGATCAGACACAAAAGTGCTGCTGGAGTCTTTAAACACTGTGTCCACTCACTGTCCACTCTATTAGACACTCCTACCTTGTCAGTCCACCTTGTAGATGTACAGTCAGAAACGACAGCTCATCTGCTGCTGCACAGTTTGTGTTGGTTGGTGGACTATTCTCAGTCCAGCAGTGACACTGAGGTGTTTAAAAACCCCAGCAGCACTGCTGTGTCTGATCCACTCAGACCAGCACAACACACACTAACACACCACCACCACCCTGTCAGTGTTACTGCAGTGCTGAGAATGACCCACCATCCAAATATTACCTGCTCTGTGAGGGTCCATGGGGGTCCTGACCACTGAAGAACAGGGTAAAAGGGGGCTAACAAAGATGGTCATAATGTTACGCCTGATCAGGTTAAGAGCAATGGAATGTGATACAGTTATGTTCCCTAACTACAGATTCTGAAGATGTACCCTTACATGTGCCACCGCAAGAGGGGCAGCAGTATTGAGGAGTAACAGTATAGAAAATTATAAGCAGAAATAGTTGCATTAAAATGTTAAAGGGGAATTATTTTTTATTTTTTTATTTATTATTTCTGCATAATTAAATGGTCGAGATGTAAACAAAGTCAGAGTGGTTTGGTGTGAAATGCTCTGTTCGAGAGAAACTTATCAAGTCAGAGTTGTTCACAGTGGTGTTAATTGGAACCAACGTCTGTAGAGTTTAATATCTCTGTAAGCTTTTTCAGAGAAGGTCGTTACATCAAATGATTATGAATCACTGCCTGATGTCTGAGGCACTGTTGTATGATCGTGTTGAGAAAAGCTTTTAGCTTAAAATGAATTTTTTAAAATCCATTCGTGGTGGAGAGGTACATGTAGGATGTTCCCGTCATCGGATTTACATATAAAAACTCAGAAGACGTGTAGGTTAGCTGGTGGCTTTGGCTGATAAATAAAATGGCTATATTTCTGTTGTAGAGATCTGCACCCCTGTTTCTTATCACCACCACTGTAAGGAAATCAGAGTTGGTAAGTTTCTCTACAAATGAGCCATTTTACACGAAACCACTCTCAATGAATTCGTTCACATTTCAACCACTCAATTATGCAGAAATGTTGATGGTGGATTTCCCTTTTAGGTGGGTCATCATCTTCATCAGAAGCGGAAAATAAAACGTCAGATTGCTTGATTATGCGCTGAATGGAGACGTCCTCTGTCCTCCGTGTTGTGAGCAGAAGCGTTGGCTGTGTGTGGGTATGGTGTGTGAAGTCTGCATTTTCTGTGCAAATTGGCATGAGGGGCCAGGGGCAACATTCCGTAGAGAGTTGTTATTTTGGGCCAAATGAATGCCTTCCACAT